TTGAACAATAATTACCATATAGAAAGAGGTTTTACTCTTCTACAATATTTTTAGACATCTTTCAGTTCTACCAGTAGGGGACCGAAAAATTGAGGAAGTATGAAAAAAATGGCAGGCTGAGGCAAAACCGGAAAGCTATTCCAGACCAAGACATTACAAAACTAACTAGTACGAGAAAATCTGTGCCATTCTGTAGCACTTCTAGTTAACATTCCTGCCCTTACTTCGTAAGAAGAGAAAGTATCGTAATCGTGCTGAGGTAAACGGCGAATTTTAGTCAGAAAATCTCTTATTGCCGGTCCCTGGTAACGAAAAAGCGCAAAAATCTTGTTCCAATGTATAGAAAGCGACTTCCTCTTCCATGTTGCGATGTAGTGACGCCCCACAAACCTTCTAGCCGTCGACTCGCCCCCTCCCCCACTCGCCCGACTGACGCACCCCGACGGATTGCCCCCTCCCAAGCGCCCAGGCCCCTGACCCGGGCCCCGCGTTCAGTGCATTCTGACTACCGTACACGTGTTCCGCTGACTCCATCTCCTTGCCAACGGCGATTGACGCACTCATACACGCATGCTAGAATAGGGGTGCCCAACTTACAAGGCCTCACGGGCCACAGCGAAAACCTTTAGTATGGTCGCGAGCCATCTTTTCATTACCCCGCGCGATCCCCACCTGACTTTCCCGTATTGTTGACCTAGGCACTTTGGCCGGTTCCTCTGAAACGGGGGCGGGGGGGGGGGATCGAACCATGCCTGCAGTGAAACACATCGGAATGATTTTGAATTTCTCAATTTACTAGAAAAAATATATTTAAATCTCAACAATCAATAGTCGATTCCGGTTATAGTCAACTCGGATATAGTGAACCATCGGTTATATTGATCTTACATCACTGGTTCCGTTTCACTTACACTACAAATAAGAGTAAGAAGATTCGGTTTGAACCTCCGCTGTAGTGACCGTACAATAATACAACATCCTGAAAATAAATTTCCTCCTGGAAAATAATACATCATCTCAGTGCCACAAATTGCAACACTAGGCAGCATAGAAAAATATCGTCGACCAAAGGTCATAAACGAAGAAGACTTCCCAGAAGTGAAGTAGCGGACTCGGAATGGGACTCTTTCTGATGACCTCATTCCCATCAGTTTCACTGCGGAAGCAAAGGCCGTGTCCTGCGAGGGCCACAAACTGGCGGCGGCGACGCGCGACTGCTTGCTTCACTTTCAAGTTGTTGAATCAAAGACGTTTCTTGATTTTCCGCGAGACTAAGCGCGCGTGTGTTCTACGTAGGCGACGCCTCCCGCTGCGCGGAAGACGCATTAGTTTCATTTCATCGGCCACTTGCGCACCCGCTACTGAAAGCATCTCGTACGTTATTGGCAGGTGAAAATGACTTCGGGAGTGGGACGGTGTTTACAACAGTGAAAGAGGTATTGAAGGTGTCAAGGTTGCATTACGATACTTACAGGCATTGAACAACGCAGAATCAAGTATGGAGAGAGCACGATTTCTGCAGAGGAATCAATGAAATGACTAATGAAATTGTACGAAGCAAACAATTGAAAATAATTGATTTTTTAAGGTCAAAATAAAGATATTGAAATTTACTGTTCGTGCTGTTAATGTATTTTGTTATATCTCTATATTAATAAAATGAATCGTTAAGGATAAATTGTATTTAACTTTGACATCGGATATAGTGAACCAAAAATGTTAGTCCCAGAAGTTCATTTAATCGGGATCGACTGTACTATTTTTACATTAAGGGGGTGTTGACCCCGACAGAGCGCGTGCGCTCTGTCGGGGTCTGTGGTCAAAGCTAACGCCTAAAACGTTCAGATGATTTTCTCCAAAATTGATATTCGCCAATCGATCTGACGAACTCAAAAGGCTCTGCGTGTTTAGAAAGATGGAAAATGTTTCCTTAATAAGTACTGTTCTTTAAAAACATCTTGAAATGAGGTCGTGTACAATTTTGTGATAAAACAGTCGGGTTAGTTGCACCATTTATTACTCAACGGCGGGACCAATTTTAATTATCTATAATTTGTTGGATTCATCTCCACAACGAATGGCAGAATAACTATTAAAATAGCGGAATAACGAACAAAACGAAAAAGAGAACAAAACTATGCATATCAAATTCAACCCGCAACACACTGCAAGATTTTTTATAACTTATAAACAAAGCGTTCTAAGGCATTCAAAAATAAAATTTTGCGGAAAAGGTCTCGAGAAATGTTTCTCACGCCGTAATCTACAGGACAAGATCTTCTTGAACATTCTATTACATTTTTGTTGGTCCGGCGTTTTTCGATATTACCCCACCTTTTCAGAGTCGGACAGAATCTGCAACTAAATGTGTATGAGAGAGAGAGAGAGAGAGAGAGAGAGAGAGTGGGAAAGACGGAGAGAGGTGCTGACAGAAAGGGAGAGGGATGGAGAAAGGGAGAGGGAAGGAGAAAGAGGGAGATAAAGGACAGAACGTCTCCCGGGTTCCGCTAGATTATTATATTTAATACACTGAAAAAGAAGGAATATATTTACAAACATATTCATTTTTTAAAGTTTAATGTACGTTATATACACTGAAGAGCCAAAAAACTGGTGCAGATGTGCGTAAAGAAATAAAGCGGTATGGAACCAATCAAAATACGGCGCTCCGATCGGCAACTACTGTACAAGACAACCAAAGTCAGGCACAGTGGTTAGATGGGTTACTGCTGCTACAATAGCAGTTTCTCACGATTTAAGTGATATTGAACGTGATGTAGTTGGCATAAGAGAAATGAGGCATAGCATCTCCGAGATCGCTATGAAATTTGGATTTTCCCGTATGACCATTTCACGAGTGTACCGTAAATATTGGGAATCCGGTAAAACATCAATCCTCCGGCATCGCTGCGGCCGCAAATAGATCGTGCAAGAACGGGACAGACGACGACTGAGGAGAATCATTACACGTGACAGAAGTGCAACCCTTCCGTACATTTCCGCAGATGGCAATGCTGGGTCATCAACAAGGGTCAGCGTGCAAGTCATTCAGAGGCAATCGATATGGGGGTTGGAGCCGATGGCCCACTCGTGTACCCTTGATGACTGCACGACACAAAGCTTTACGCCTCGCCTGGGCCCATCAATACAGACACTGGACTGTTGATGACTGGGAACATGTTGCCTGATCTGACGAGTTTGGTTTCGCAATGTTTTGAGCGGATGGACGTGTGCGAGTACGGCGACCTCATGAATCCACAGGCCCTGCATGCCAACAGGGGACTGTTCAAACTGGCGGAGGTTGTGATGGTATGCGACGCATGCAGTTGGAGTGGTACGGGGCCCTTATAAGTCTAGATATGACTCTGACATGTGACACGTGCGCAAACATCCTGTCTGATCCCCTGCACCCATTTATGTACATCCCGAAGGACTCAGGCAATTCCAACAGAGCAACGTGACAGCCCACACGTCCAGAACTGTTGCAGAGTGGCTCCAGGAACGCCCTTCTAAATTTAAACACTTCCACCGGCCACCAAAATCCCCAGATATAAACATTATTGAGCGTATCTCGGTTGCCTTAGAACGTGCTATCCAGAAAAGATTTCCACCCCGTAGTACTCTTACGAGTTTATGGCCAGCTCTGCAGGATTCATGGTGTCAATTACCTCCAGCACTACTTCAGACATTAGTCGAGTCCATGCCTCGTCGTGTTGCGAAACTTTTGGGTGCTCGCAGGGACCCTGCACGATATGGTTCGTGAATCCAAGTCTTATTTCATTTTTTTGTAAAATAGCCCCTTAGGATGATCGCAAAGGCCACGACGCTGGCCGCCATGTTGCATGGTAGCGAAGATCTGCTGAGAAAAATTTTGAAAGTGACAGTTTCAACGAAAAATAACACGATGAAGGTGTAATTGAAATAGAAATTATATATTTAAAAAAATGCTTCACATATCTGTTTCGAAGACTTGTGATAAATTTGGTATTTGACTGCATTTAAAATTACGGCTGATATTGTAACGCAAACTGGTGCCTGAAGCTCATTGGCTGAAGTCCGATACGATGTGCAATAGCAGAGAATTCCTCCAAAGGTGGAAAGATATGGGTAGGCCCCTCCAGCGCACTGACTTTTGATCGTTCTGCGCAGCACCAGTTTGCGTCACGAACCACGAGTCCACAACACAGCACTTCGATTGAAACGGATTTCCAGACGTTGTCCGCCATGTTGCATAGAGAGCGAGAAGTGTTGAGAAACATTTTGAAAGGGGCATAGTGACAATTATCAACGGTGACCAACCAAAAATAACACGATGAAAACAATAATTGAAATAAAACACGCAATATGTTTTAATGGCTTCAATCTCTTTCAATGGCGTGATAATTTTGACATTTAAAAATCCCGCTACTAGTGTCATGCCTGAAGCTCATTGGTTGAAGTAGGATTCGAAGCGCCAGAGCCCACCCATCGCTTACCCCACGGTTCTTTCTCAGAGCAACTTCAATTGACTGCGAGCGTGTTCGCGTAGCTTATTAGCGTGCGTTGATTAAAAACGATAAAAATAAATTTCCTCATACGCATCATCTCAACCCCCCCCCCACGGAAACACCAAAGCAAATATTTTATTTGGTAATTACATCCAGTCGAAGAAAATAACGGAGAACGAAAACTGGTCACGATGGCTGAAAGTGCATGGAGTGAAAGATTTCATGCATGTGGATAAGGGATAAGAACCGGGTGAATGCCAAGTTCCGCCGAGTATTTACTTCCATTGACACGTCTCCAAACTTTTACGACATCTTACACCGTAAGTAAGAGATAAAATTCCGAAGGAAAAAATATGAAGAGTTATCAAACAAGCATTTCCTCCCATTCATAGGTTTCGATTTTATTGCCATAATTGGAAAGAATCTGAATGACATTTGAGGTTATGTATATGATCATACAAATAATAATAATAAATCCGCCAATTTAAAGTGATTTAACCACTTGATACTTACTTCATCCTTTGTATTGCATCAATCCAGCGCCGCCTCCTTTCCTGCTGATACGGACGTGAAGGAAAAGAGTAGAACTTTATTCCCGTTCCCGCACAATTCTCTTCAGTGTTATGACAGTTCACGATGCAACAATTTCTCCGTGATCTAGGCATATTTATTGCACTATCAACTATTTTAGACTTGTTTTGTTTAAATTCTTAGTGCATGACCACAGATGTCTTGTTCTTCTTTTCAACAGTAAGAAATTCTCTTTACAATGGAACTGTCACTTCAAATTCAACAAGAAAAACATGGACTACGTTAGCGCACATAGTAAAGCTTTGAAAGAAAATGTCTTTAAACAATACATGCCATTCTCACAGATAATTCAAACATATTGTGACTTTTCTAAGATTCACCTCAAAAGTAGACAATTTACTACCACTTAACATTAATATGATTAAAGTAGTTTTCATTACAAACGCACTTGTTCGAGATCAAGTTAGACACGGAAAATGCAAGAATGAGCGCGAGTTCTAATTTCACTTGTTATCGGGTCGTATTTGTAAATTTAAGATATTTTAGTACAATTAACAGTAATTCTTAAAATGTATATTCTCAGAAATGAGGAACCACATAAACTTCTCATGCTAGGGAAGTGCCATTCACAAAAACCTCTCGCAATAAACGAAAAATGTGGAACTTTAGATGGTCTCTAATTACTTTTTAATACGGTATTTTAGTTACTGCAATAAAATCCATACATGCATAACTTTGTAATTCAAAATTATAATTCAGCATTTTCGTCATTTGTTCATTGTACATTTTACATAGTTTCTTTCCCACTACCACGAATTTTGTAATACTTATTATTTCATGATCGCCTATACATCTGGTTGCCAAGTTTGCCAGTCCAGGACTTTTCTTTGCACGTTATAAGTGAAGTGTCTTCTTATGAAGCATATTCTTGTGAAGAATTTTTCATTTATGATGAATTCAAAAATTAGGTTTTTTTTTTTAAATTTCTAGTTACTTATAATATATACTATGGAAATGTTAAATGGCTTTTATTCCCCACCTACATTAGATAGTTCCTTACTTGAAAACTTGTACCATGCATTGTGTGCTGGAGAGTGAAGGATATGTTTTACACTTCATCTGTAAACCTAATTTTTGTTACTAAGTTTTATACCACTTGGAGAAAACTAAAAGCCTTAAGGTAGTAAATTAAATGGGGCTCGGTGTTGCCAATCACTAAATGTATATCCCAGTACAACCTTCAAAGATCCTGCTACTTTCACCAACATTCCTAGTTCCAATGGTAATTGATTTATATAATAAAATTGTTATAATATAACTCATCTTTTTAATGGGCTTAGGAAGTTCATTTAACTTTATTCAATATTGATAAACTAAATGAATGGGTTGTTCTATCCTTTTCTACTATAACATGTGCTAGAAAAAAGACCGTCCTATGTCACCCTTTGTTTTGGTTTTTTCACAAATATCATAGTTATTTTTATACTATTGGTGTTAGTTTTAAATTATTGCATAAAAAAATTATTACACAAATCTTAAATCATACATTTTTAATTACCTTAGACTTAAAATCCTGGTATTTAAACGAACCTTGATGACTTCATCCTGGTACATGGTATCTTCAGTAAAACCTGGTAAAAATACCAGGATTCTGGTACATCTAGCAACACTGCAAGGGCCTTATTTCAAAGAAAACATGCACACAACATAAATAAAATTAATTTCTCCATGCAACAAAAATAACTTACAATAGTTAATTTGATTTGGAAGTAAATTATTTTTTTGTTTAAAAAAATAAAACATTCCAAGACCTGGGGCCTGCTCTTCCCTCACCTTCTGGGCACTCCTGTATCTGCGACAGAAAAGTCCTGTTACTTTCCAATTTTTTATTATAATTAATAATAAAACATTGCATTAACGTGGACATATTTGTGGCAGGGTTTATTTTTAAATATATGTGAATATTAGTAACAATTGAGGACTTTGATGGAAGAATGTCTCATCTGTAAAAAATGAGATTAGTGTAGATATAATTTGACAATATTTCCCATTTAAAGATCACGTATCAGCAATGTAAACATAATTTAATTAACAGTATCACTTAAGCTGTTCTTCCATAATTTGATTCTTTCCGTATTTTTATTCATGGTGGTCTGGAGGTAAATTAATCTCGTTACATGGGATATATAGTTCGGATAGACTTAGAAATTATAAATAAAATAAATCTACTATTTTTTAAGCATATTTCGCATTAAAAAGTGTTCTAAATTGAATTGAATTAAATATGTTCAAATGTTTCTTCCTCGTCATTCATTTACTACAGAACAATAATTATTACAATAAAAGCAACACAAAAACGTCAAACTTAAAAGTTAACATAACTGAAGAGTTAACATAACAGCGAAGAATTAGATTGCCTACCAGTGAACTAGTGTCTCTTTCACAATTGGCTCAGTAATAATTCGCACCAAACATCCCAAGCAATTTAATGGGCCAGTGGTCTCTACACACCCTTGTACTTAGCGTTCTCCTACATTGTGTCATTTATGCAGACAAATAAATTATTCATATTCGAGGGGGTCTAATGAATATCATAAGCCAAGAACGGAACATCAGCTTAACCTGGTTTGAAACTAAACACCTTTAATTTTTAACAGAAAAGCATTTCACAATGATCGTGAGAGATTCAAAACAATGTTCAATAAATCACAGTGCTTCTGATACAAGTCGCAAATAGAGGAACTTACAATTGCAAAATTAATATACGACCAACAATTTCTTGCATTACCAAATTGTGCATAAACAAGCTATGTAAATGCTCAGGATCTTACAGATGGAGAGTGAAGTAGGTAAGATGAGGGGTGTCAAACTCATTTCAACTATAAATAATTTTTCTAAGAAGAAGGTTTAAACCAATCAGATGGTGTATTTCAACAGTTACTAATTTTCCTTTTCAATTTTTTAAATTGAAAATGAATGTCCATGAATTGCACATACAAAAAATTCAACAACTTTTGTGAAACAATAACAAAATATACAATAATATTTCAATGACAAGAATTGCATTACAGATATTTTAAATTTCTCTCTTAAGCTATATTTTCATCTTAAATTGTAATTTTTTGCTTCCACTTTGACATCAAGGTGAAAAAACATTTGAATAATGAAACAATGTAGGAAACAAAAATTCACAAATTCCACAACAAAATGATGCAACAATCAAATGTGTACAACCAAATTAACAAAACTTTCATTTCAATTGAAGCTCCTCTGAAAGGCAAGTTGTGGGAAGAAAAGATAACAATTATAGTAAAACTGGAAAAGTCTATCTTTGAATAGAAAGTAACTTTCACATACCATTTTACTTCAAATATTTTGAACCATTTATTATCATTAATCCTCTTGATGTTTATTCGTTTTAAGTTTTAAAATATAATGAACAGATACATTAATAGTATTTAGTTTCTATCTGATTGAAAAAAAAACTGAAGATAATTTCATAAATTCATAATTTATTATCACTAATGCATACAAAAAATACAGCAACACCAAAATAACCACAAATCTGAGATGAAAACAATATTCTTAAAGATCAAGTGGTGTCAAATTAATCTATTGCTCTCTCAAAAGCAATCAATGATAGGTTTCAGCTCAAAATTGGCAAAGCTAGCTGTAGGGAAACTAGCACCACTGTACAAGGCAACCAAAACTGCTATCGTATGTTCACTTATGTACATTATGTACAATACTGTTTACCTGAATGTTACTACTCGTGCACTCTTGTTTACACCAAATAAGGAGCATATTTAAGTCAAAGGAGCACTTATATCAACATCTACATGTTCTTTTAAATGCTCAATTAAATCACTACTGAAACTGAAAACCTGACCACAGACGTAACATTCAGAATGTGTTCTCAAATGGTGAGCTAAAGAGCTAGCCTGCGGAAAGAGATTTCCACAGAGTACACATTCATAAGATGTTTCTTCCTTATTGTGGGTTATCAAGTGAAGAGCAAAAGTTTTCTTACAATCAAATATCTTTCCACACTTGTGGCATTTACAAGGGGCTTCGTTTGTGTGATCCTTAAAGTGATCATTCAACTCACTTAAACTAGAGAAAGAATTAGAGCACACATTACATTGGAAAGTTTTTCCACCCCCGTGCTGTTTCATATGGTCAGCCAGCTGATTCCCGAGACTAAACCATTTGCCACATACATAACATTCATGAGGTTTCTTTCCTCGATGCAATCTTACATGAACGTTACACTCACTCCTACACGAGAAACGTTTACTGCAAATGGTGCAACGATACACTTTCTTTTTGTGTGTCTTTCTGTGGAGAGTCAACCACTTCTTTTGTGAAAATGGTTTCCCGCAAACATCACAGTTGAACATGTGCTGATAGAAAGGTCCAGGAGGTTTTCGGCATTTGTTACATTCACATGACTTATTCGAGTGCTCAGTGGCCGATGAAGACGAGGGGCTCGGCTCTCTGCAACAAAAACCAACTCCTCTTAGACTTTCAAACATGTTCAAGATATGAAGAAATAATGGAAGTCTTCTCCGTCAGCTTAATATATTTATTTAGAAAGTCTGCATTCAATGGCTTTGCTGTTATCACGTCTCGCCGTGTGGCAAACTATGCCTTGATGAAACCTGGCTCTCCAAATAAATATATTAAGCTGACGGAGATGACTTTGAGATTATTTGTTCATGTAATTACATCAACAATACCGCATCAGAACTCCCACAATATTCCAGAGAAGTAATACAAGTTGTTTCCATGTGATAGTGATAAAAACAAGACAATATGGTCTGGAAACCTACTCAACGAAATACTTATTTTTGTATGAATAAATGACTTCCCACAATATATTAACACAATGGTGAAAGCCAATGGAATTCTCTGTCTCAGAGCTACAGCTCTTTTCTCTTCAAAAAATCAATTTATGTACATAAACTTCTTGCTGTTGTATTGGCAAGATAAAGAGCCCTCAGTACTCGGAAGAAGATGGACCCAATCACCCATATGTAAATAGGTCAGCATAAAAATCCATAAATTAACTTTTAAAAAATCTTGTTTATATTACAGATATCTCACAACAAATATTTTTTGAAAATGATTATTTCTAGTTCTTAAACTGCTTTTTGTTTCATTAATTTAAACAATCAACACAACATGCAATAGCAAGAGAAAATATTATACATACTGTGCAAGCACCTGGGACTCTTGCAAGTTTTGTACCGAAAAAACTACTTCCTTTGGAGGTTCCCCAGTAGTCTGAAACAGATTTGTCAATTATAGTCTTCACAAATACTTTCTCCAATATAAATACGACGTTAAGTATTTCATATCACTAACCATTAAAAACAATATAAAATTTTACACAAGATAAATCTAAGAACTCTTTCAAGATAGACCTTTTCAACAAATTTGTCTGGAGACAGTAAAAATACATATTTTTGTGTAATACAGCATTAATGTGAATATTAATACATTATTATTGTGATTTAAAAAGTAAGTGGGAAAGCTTAAGTAATACCAGTTAACAAAATATAAATGTAGAACCTAATTCCTCCACTTTTTAATAGTGTCTTCACTATGAAAACAAACAATTAAATTCTTGAAAATGTCAAATTACTTGGGTCAATAATTTTTCTTTTTAAATTTCAGTTGTGAGAGATTTTTATTATTAATTTTTGATATTTTTCCAAATATTCTTTATATTTCTTCAAATCTGTAAATTTTTAATCTGAAAATATTTTTCTTCTCCATGATCTAGTTTTCATGCAATGAAACGTATGCATTTTGGCCAAATTGAATCAAATTAATTTCATAATCTCGTCAAATTTGATTAAGACTATCAATTCCAGTTTTTGAAGGGTTAATTCTGTCTGATAATAAGGATAGCAATGAAAGGTCAAACACAAGTGATGAAACTAAAGGAATATTTTCCTTCAGTTTCAGAAGAGAATGAGTATTTGTATACCCCATAATCCCTAACTCATCAGCAGAGTAACCAGTTTCAGCTGAATGATTTTGTGCACTCTCCAAACTTGCAACTCAAGTGTCAAATTGTTTGTCAATGCATTTCAATTTACAATGCCAGTAAATAATTAAAATGCTATTTACACTATGAAGTCAACGAGAAAATGAAATATTGAAATCCTAACACAAAGCAATAGAAAAACTTGGTATCCAAGAGAAAGAAAAGTGAGGAGAGAAAAGAAAAACCTCAGATTTGAAATCAGTACTCTGTAGTAGTAAACAGCAATTGTAATTGGAAAATAACACAAATGTTTCTGTTTAATGTTATTAATTTAAAATATGTTTGTAAACATTAGGTATGGATTTTAATAGTTTGAAAGTAGTATCAACTCCAATAAACCAGCAGCAGATTTCATTACACATACAGCCCCATAAAAAAGTAATTTGTTTAGAAGGACATAATATGAATTGATAAACTATGAAAACAAACATTTATAAATCAATTTCATTAAAACTATAAAATAACATTATTACTAAAATTATTAAAATATACATTATTAATATTTTAAAAATATATTATTAAAATTAATTAATCTTTACCAGCAATACTTCACCATCAGCTTGAGGTTCTGCCTGACCAGTCACTATTAACAGTTCAGAGTTAGCTTGATCCACTGTAAGCTTATTGGTCTGAACCAATTCTTGTTGTTCTAAGTACCATGTCTCAGAAGAATTTTGTTCTTGCTGCACCCACTGTTGCGAGCCCTGCTCCCACTGTGGTTGTTCAATTTGCAACTGCCACTGAGCTTCATCTTTCTGTTCTCCTTGTGCTTCTTGCAATTGCCAATGTCCATTATCTGGAATTAACCATTGCTGTTCCCCATCTTGTTGAACCTCCTCAGTAGTCTCTTGAATTACCTACAACAATTAAGTAAAAATGTGATAAAGTGATTCAGTCATTCCCATGAAAAGTTTTGAATTATTTAAAAATGAGCAATGTGAGAAGTTACCTTCAGCACACTGGGTGAAGACTCATCAGACTGCTCAACTGGTACCATAACCAATACATGTTGCAATTTAACTGACTGAGGATCTTTAGCTTCTTGGTTTTGCTGCAACCAATCAACAGCACGAAGGTATGGAAAATGAGGGTTAGTATCCATACCTAATGATAACCTATCAACTTATAGAACGGCAAATTAACGACTAATTAAAAAAATAATGAACAGTCATTAATTGGCATCTGTCACTCAACTGATCCCTACTTACTGCCTGTTCATTATTATTGGCCCACACCCAAGTAGGCTCGACATTTATGACCACGTTGTGGACCATTTCAGATTAGTTCATATTTTACTCGCTCTCACTGAGCTGCTTTAGCCTTTAAATGAACGTTTCCAAGAAGATTTTGAAAACTATTCAAGAATAGAGAAAGCGAAAGATTAATTCACACTATATGCACTTCGTCTAGTTTGCGGATAAGAACATAACGTATAGATGCCATTAACGATCTTGCTAGGGCGGTTGAGGCGTACATGGGGTTTCACTCAGTCAAAAACACAAATGTGTAGTCAGTACACAATGGGTAAAGCATAATGTTACGTATTATTGTAATGCATCACAAGTATGTTAACATTTATACGATCAAATGTAGCACTCTTTTGCAAAGAATATTCACGTCTAAACAAAGACCATCAACGAACGCGCAAGGCTACAACGAACAACCATATTCCACGCAAACAGGAAACGAAGAGAACGCTGCAGCTTGTCACGGCCTTCTGAATCGTTTACAATGCGCTCTATAACAACGCGACATTGCGCCTCAGTAACGATATATATCGAAATTCCGTGAATTAAAAACCGACAACTGTTTTAAATGTAAGAAAAGTTTATCCCACTCTGAGAACTATATGACTCCAGGAATTTCAATTAAGTGTCGGCGAAGCTATATAAATGTATTATTTTGAAAACACATTCGCAACAATTCTCTACCTCTCCCAAATCTTTCAAACAATAGACATTCTATTGCAGAAATATTCAAAGAAAATGACGGCTCTAGCGCACATTTTAGAATGAATTTCAATAAGTTTCTACTTTCGATTAAGTTCTCTAGTATAATAATTATTTAAGAAATAATCTTTGTGAGATATCTTATTAATATAAGTTTGCAGGATTTTCAAACAAGGCCGTTTGCTCAATATTACGGTTTCCAGATCATCAAAATAGAAAATATTACGTCTGTAATATATGTCTTACCATGCATTTTAGCATAGGCAATCGAAACATAAAAATAGGGACCTAGCACATATCTGGGCCCTCTTTCTTTCTACATAATTATTTTTAATTTACATAGTACATACTTTGTTAATAAATACGTAAATAAATAAACCATACTGTAACAATGAATGACATTGTAACTATACAAGGGATATTCAAACTTTTTTCGTCCACGACTCCCTTGGCCAAAACGGAACTTCCTGTGGCTCCCCTGGTAAAAATAAGTTTCTAATACAAGGGTTAAGATTCAACACAAATGAGTAAGTGATATATTAGACTATTGGTAAAGGACTTGCCCAGTTTAATTAATCCTCAATAAATAATATCACTAATCACCACAATAATAATGTGTAGTATTAATCATACACCTTACAAATAACTTATAGTATGATACTAAAATTATTTTGTAGACATAAATGACACAAGCATTTAATAAATAATTTTTAATAATTAAATATGGTAAATTAAACGGGTTGTTTGGTATCAAATTAAGTTACCATATTTATATATTAGAAGGTATCTATCTCATCAGCGATTTAATTAATTTTTAATAAATCACCACGACGCTCCTGGGAGCCGCGACGCACAGTTCAAAAACCCCTGAAATACGTGAAAACTTTAAGCCGAAAAAAATTGAAACTAGTAATAATAATAATAATAATAATAATAATAATAATAATAATAATAATAATAATAATAATAAAGTTATGGGCAGATTTTTCCTATTTCTACATCTAGTCTTACTGCAGCACCAGAAATCACATTGCACATGTTAGTCATTGAGGTATTCCTGAATGCTATAAAAAAGTTTTCCCAAGAAGTGTTTAAGTTTTTTTTTTTTTTTTGTTTTTTTTTTTAAGTGTAAAACCTGTTGTGTTCTCAAGGTATTTGTAAATTTTGTTGAAGAATTGTATACCTGAAGAGAATTACTCTTTGGTATAATGTGCTTGTACACATTGGTATGAAGGTTACATGCTTGCCTTGTGTATAGGTGAAGCTTGAGTTAAAATTTGTAAAGTGTGTTCATTGTTTAGTAGATTTTTCTTACCAAACATGATAAGTCTTAAATAAAAAAACAAGCAGTGGAAGTATGTAAGTTTTTTGAAATGAGGTCTGCCAGGACTCTGTTCTTTTTGTATTTGTTATTGTTCGAATGATTCCTTTTGTATTTTGAATGTTGTTTAGCCTCTGGTGCTTAGCCCCATATTATATCCCGTATTTGAGAAAAGGTCACATTTGCAAAGTACCACTGTTCGTGCGT